AGAGGGACTCAATTCTTGAAGTTGAAGCTACAAAGGGTTATTTTTAAAGAAAGATGGTATAAATCTTGAAGTACCGGTGCGGTGTAGGTTCAAATCCAAGGAGTAATAAAAATCTTCTTGTGGCCATGAAGGTTTAAATGTGGTGACTCCAGATCATCTGCAAAGCAGGTGGTCGTCCTGGGATTAGTCGGTTCGCATGACGGGTTGGATATCCAGGTTAATAAAAAAAATCTTGAAAATATGAAAATAGGGTAGTGGACATGATCCGGTTTAGTTGTGTTGTGTTGTGTAATAATAATCATATCATTTCCTAGATCCAGTAAAAATGGAATATATACATCTGAGATGAGAACGGTTATTATACATATTTATTGATCATAATTAGATGAAAATATTTATTAATAAAACTAACTGGATTACCTTATTTTTAAATTTATAAAATTTGTTAAAATTTGAGAATATTTCATTCTTTTTAGTTTTACATTTATTAGTTTTTTTCATCAATACACGTGTATCTTCATTTGTAACATCATGTATGAAGTCAGGGATGGATCTATGAGGTCCGAGCGAGGTCTCGTGTAGCTGCTAAACTTATATTCGCAAGTAGAATCTTTTTTGAGGTATGAAATTGCACCTGCTAAACTTTGAGGGATTTTCCAGTGTATTAGAAAATTAACCAAAAAACGTATCTCGAAATCTACAATGAATCGAAAAAATCCTTGAAAATCAACCACAGAACTTGAAAATCCATCAAAATCAACCAAATTTTTTTTAAAATCCCTCGTTTTGGTTTCCTGTTAAGCTAGCCCTAAAGGTTACTATTATTATGCGTTAACGATGTTGTAATTATTGGATATCATTTAATATTAGTCATTTTGTTTGTAAAAAAACAATATGATATCTGAATTGGGGATTCCAATGTAACTATAGCCAAATGGATAACCTTCAAGCAAAGAAGTCCCATCAAAGTTGTTAACACGATTACTCGGTATGCGATTTTCATATGACATGAGAAGGGTTTGAGAGAGTGATTGAGGTCATATTCGGACATTTGATATCTGATACAAAATCCTTTCTAGGATGGTTTTTGCCAAAAGCATACAAACTCAAAAGCTCCACAGCATTTATAATCCGGTAAAAGTGGCATGTCATAAATTTCATCCACTTTATGACACCATAACAACTGTCTGTCTTTACCGGTGAAAATAATAAAACTTCCTGGAAAAAAACCAATCACGAGTACTTCTAACTGATCACAGTGATCCACTTCATCAAGAACATGTAGGATCGGCTATGTTGACATCCTATCCTTTATTACCATAATTCCTTCACTAACATTCGATATATCTACAACTCTTGGAGATCCCATCCAACCATGAATATAGCTTCCTACCATTCGTCAACCTTTGTTTTATTTGAAATTTCATGTTTGGCAAACACTTTGCATTGTTCCCGGTCTGTTTTCTCACGACATCAGGCTTCACATCATAAAAGATGATTCGAACCTTGTAAACTTTGGCCATTTAGGGATAATAGTTTCTGAAATGGCTAAAAAGTGAAATCACTTTAATGAATTGGTTATTTGAGTAAATTTACCTTTCTTAAAACAATTACTTTAATTTAACTCTATCTAGACTAAAGGGTAAAACAATCATTAATCTAACCACTTCTACTGTATATTAATACCTTTGTATTATTTATAGTAATTCATTAATAATAACAAAAAAAAATAAAAACAATCGATGATAATGTTACATGACTCAATTTTTAATGGTTTCTTTAAGATATTGTACCCGTATTGCCTTACATCTTGAACACAATTTTTGCATGCTAGTAATACCTTTTTGTATTATAATTGTTTATCCATGCACCGCACATTTGGCTCAACCGTGTTTTCTTTTCTTTCTCACGACATGTAATTAAAGGGGTTGCTAAGATTTCGGGAAGGAGAGTATACGAGGTTCGATTGCAAGAGGTTATAAGAGGTTTATTGATGTTTATGCTAGTATTTGATTTCTTTCATTTGTATTTAGACTAGCGTTTTTTTTTTCAAGACTATGTTTGGTTTTAGTTGAATTATTTGGAGACATCTGAAATCATTTTTGTTGGAGTATTAATTCTATTGGAGACTTTATTTTAGAGGTATTATATACCTGTTACGTTATGTTTGAAGTAACTCCATATTCCAAAGTTACAGATAAACTAGCCGAAAAACAAACTGTTGCCTAATAAAGTAGCTGATGAATGGGTCATATTTGGTAAAAACTAGTTGATAAGTTAGATCGTAATGTTACATGATTTAAACAAACATGTTGAAAATTAATTGAAAGATATTTGGAAATTTTTTTAGAGCTAATTGAAACAAATTACACATATAAATCATGGACAGTTTTCATTACATATAGTTATGATACAGAATATAAATTACAATTGTGGGGGGAAAATGAAAAAATTATATTACAATCAATGACATCCAAGCTTTGACATATGCATCACCACAATACATCTTTGTTAATCATACTACCTACCACGACCAACTGAAATATTGATGATTCCTCATCATTTGGATGGCACCTCCTTCTTGTGTTAGAGTCGGGAGCTCTTGAATGAGACTGAAATTCGTCTCTTCTATATCTTCATCACAAACAAGTCTAAAACCACATTCTTTTACCTCAACGTCATCATTACCTTCAAACCAAAAAGTAACAAAATTCTTTGCCTCCTGCCATTCACGATAAACCCAAGTCTCAAAACAAAACCATATGATATCTGACTTAGGGATTCCAGTGGGATCATATATAAATCGATAGTCGTAAACCAAAGAAGTCCCATCAAAGTTGTCCACATGATAGCTTGGTAAATTGTTGTAATTGTAGTGATCAAAATAAGACTTTTTCAGCGTCAAAACAACACAAAATCCAAATCCCCTCAACTTGTTGTAGCAGAAATTTGGAGGCAAATCATACTGTAAGTGATTTCCCATATTTGTATGTGTAAACCATTGTGGAATTCTATTTCCATGATATTTTATATCCAAATGGTAATTGTCTTGTCCACCGAAGATTTCACGTATGTCACTCGGGAACTCCATAAATTGAAGCAAAGAAGAAATTTTGTTTCTACAACTATGGGATGTTATAGATAAGTTAAGATCAAGTAGAGGCTGACACATACAAACCGGGCTTTCAGTACTAACATTCCTAAACAATTTTGGACAACCTTCAAAAAACATTCCTAATAAAGTACCTGATGAATGGGTCATATTTGGTAAAAAAAAAAACTAGTTGATAGGTTAAATCATAATGTTACATGATTTAAACAAACATGTTGAAAATTAACTAAAAGATATTTGGAAATTTTTTTTAGAGTTAATTGAAACAAATTACGAATATAAATCAGGGACAATTTTCATTACATATAGTTATGATACTAAATACAAATTATAATTGTGAGGGAAAAATGACAAAATTATATTACAATCAATGACATCCAAGCTTTCACATATGCATCACCGCAATACATCTTTGTTAATCTGACTACCTACCACGACCAAATGAAAGGGTTATAATTCCTCCACATTTGGAAACGACCTCCTTCTTGTGTTGGAGTTGGGAGCTCTTGAATGGGATTGAAATTCGTGTCTTCTTCTATATCTTTATCAAAAACAAGTCTAAAACCACATTCTTTTACTTCAACTTCATCACTGTGTTCAATCGAAAAAGTAACAAAATTCTTTGCCTCCTGCCATCCACTATCAATCCAACTCTCAAAACGAAACCATATCATATCTGACTCAGGCATTTCAATGGAACCATATATAAATGGAAAGTGGTGAACCAAAGAAGTCCCATCAAAGTTGTCCACATGATAGCCTGGTAAATTGTTGTAATTGCAGTGATCATAATAAGACTTTTTCAGCGTCAAAACAACACATAATACATATCCCCTCAACTTGTTGTAGCAGAAATTTGGAGGCAAATCATACTGTAAGTGATTTCCCATACTTGTATGTGTAAACCATTGTGGAATTCTATTTCCATGATATTTTATATCCAAATGGTAAGTGTCTTGTCCACCGAAGATTCCACGTGTGTTAATGGGAAACTCCATAAATTGAAGCACAGAAGAAATTTGGTTTCTACAATTGTGGGAGGTTATAGATGAGTTAAGATCAAGTAGAGGCTGACACATACAAACCGGGCTTTCAATACTAACATTCCTAAACAAATTTGGACAACCTTCAAAAAACATGGCAAAGGATGATTG